CTTCAGAGTCAAGCCAGTCATTTCAAGGATACCATCCATCCATCTTGCCCTTGGTCGGCCCCTCTTCCTTTCCCCCCAGCATCATTGTCTTCTCTTAGCTTTCCTGTCTTTTAATCATGTGGCCAATGTACTTCAACTTTGCCTCTACTATCCTTCCCCCCAATGAGCAGTCAGGCTTTATTTCCTGAAGTATGGACTAGTTGGATCTTCATGCAGTCCAAGGCACTCTCAGAATTTTCCTCCAACATCACAGTTCAAAAGCATCTCTCTTCCAGACAGAAGTGGGTTGCTCTAAGTTTTCTAGGCTGTATGGCCATTTTCTAGAAACATTATCTCCTGACGTTTTGCCTGCATCTGGAACATGGTCATACAGCCCAAAAAACTTCCAGCAACCCAGTGATTCCGGCCATGAAAGCCTTCGACAATACAAAGTATTTGCAGTTTAATAAACTTTTCCCAAGTTTTTGTGATAGAACCAGTTAGGAAATGACATTGATAACCTGGGAAGAAAAATCATGTTACATAGTATTATTAATATACTATATAATATATATGTGTGTATATATATATACACTAGCCGTCCCCTGCCATGCGTTGCTGTGGCCCAGTCTGTGTATATGTGTGTGTATAAATTTGTGTATATGTGTATATATGTGGTTTAGCGCATGCGTTGTAATGTATTTTTTATTTTTTGGCTTTTAAAGTCTCTTCCGCTGTGTTTTTCAGAGTTTTAATGTGATGGTCACTCATTAACCTGATAAGAGTATTGTGTCCAAATTTGGTGTCAATTCGCCCAGTGGTTTTTGAGTTATGTGAATCCCACAAATGAACATTATTTATACACACACACACACACACACACACACACACACATATATAGGTAAAAGGTAGTCCCCTGACATTAAGTCCAGTTGTGTCTGACTCTGGGGTGTGGTCGTGTCCGACTCTGGGGGTTGGTGCTCATTTCCATTTCTAAGCCAAAGAGCCGGCGTTGTCCATAGACACCTCCAAGGTCATGTGGCTGGCATGACTGCATGGAGAGCCGTTACCTTCCTGCCGGAGCGGTACCTATTGATCTGCTGACATTTGCATGTTTTCGAACTGCTAGGTTGGCAGAAGCTAGGGCTGACAGCGGAAGCTCACGCTGCTCCCCGGAATGGAACTGCTACCTTTCAGTCAACAAGCTCAACAACTCAGCGCTTTAACCCACTGCACCACCGGGGGCTCCATATATATCAATTTATAAAGATTTATAATAAACTAGCTGTCCCCTGCCACGCGTTGCTAAGGCCCAGTTTATTGATCTGGAAAATAAAGCAATGAGAAAATGTTGCTTTCTAATATATGTAATGTCTTTATGCTTGTGCGTAAACAGTATTCCTTGCTGTTTCTTTGCCAGGTTGATGTGGAGATTGTCTGGTTTGCCTACTCTGGAACATGCAACATATCATTATCCTTCTTTAGGGGTCCCTTTCAAATCTTTGATACTGCATCTGTCATATACATATATGTGTGTGTGAATGGCTGGATGGCCCTTTGTCAGGAGGGCTTTGATTATGTTTTCTTGCCCTGGTGAAGGGAGTTGGACTGGATGGCCTTAAGGCAGCATTTCTCAACCTGGGGTTTGGGACCTCTGGGGGGGTTGTGAGGGGGGTCAGAAGGGTCGCCAAAGACCACCAGAAAACATAGTATTTTCTGTTGGTCATGAGGGTTCTGTGTGGGAAGTTTGCCCCAATTCTGTCGTTTGGTGGGGTTCAGAATGCTCTTTGATTGTAGGTGAACTATAAATCCCAGTAACTACAACTCCCAAATGTCAAGGTCTATTTTCCCCAAACTCCATCTGTGTTCACATTTGGGCATATGGAGTATTCGTGCCAAGTTTGGTCCAGATCCATCATTGTTTGAGTCCACAGTGCTCTCTGGATGTAGGTGAACTACAACTCCCAAACTCAAGGTCAATGCCCACCAAACCCTTTCAGTATTTTCTGTTGGTCATGGGAGTTCTGTGTGCCAAGTTTGGTTCAATTCCATCATTGGTGGAGTTCAGAATGCTCTTTGATTGTAGGTGAACTATAAATCCCAGCAATGACAATTCCCAAATGACAAAATCAATTTTTTGAGTGGAGGACATACATTGGGTTGTTAGGTGTCTTGTGTCCAAATTTGGTGTCAATTCCCCCAGTGGTTTTTGAGTTCTGATGGTATCACAAACGAACATTACATTTTTATTTATATAGAAGATATGCATATAAATGTCCTAAACAAATAAACAAATAAATAAAACATAGTAAATGCCTAAATATGTTCCCAACGCTTATTTCTATTTTTTTAAAGCATCATTTAGGAATTGTGGGAGTTGAAGTCCAAAACACCTGGATGCCTGCTCCAAAGGCAACTTAGGGTGCATCTACACTGTGGAATTAGCACACTTTTCATCTATGCTGATGATCGTGCCATTACTGCTCAAGCAGGGAGCTTTGGGATGGTAGAACAGAAGCTTTCCAAAGCTCTAGGTGCTCTTACTGCCTATTACAGGGAAAACCAGCTGATCCCTAATCCATCTAAAACACAGACATGTGCCTTTCATCTTAAGAACAGACAAGCATCCCGAGCTCTGAGGATTACCTGGGAAGGAATCCCACTGGAGCATTGCAGCGCACCCAAATCCCTGGGAGGAGTCACTCTGGACCGTGCTCTGACCTACAAGAAGCACTGCCTGAACATCAAGCAAAAAGTGGGTGCTAGAAACAATATCATACGAAAGCTGACTGGCACAACCTGGGGATCACAACCAGATACAATGAAGACATCTGCCCTTGTGCTGTGCTACTCTGCTGCTGAGTATGCATGCCCAGTGTGGAACACACCTCACCACGCTAAAACAGTGGATGTGGCTCTTAATGAGACATGCCACATTATCACAGGATGTCTACTCCCTACACCGCTGGAGACATTACACTGCTTAGCCGGTATTGCACCACCTGACATCCACTGGGAAGTAGCAGCCAATAGTGAAAGGACCAAGGCAGAGACATCTCCAGATCATCCCTTGTTTGGGTATCAGCCAGCACGTCAACAACTTAAATCAAGAAATAGTTTTCTAACATCTACAGAGACACTCAGCAAGCGAGAGTCCAAAAGTGGCAGGCCCAATCCCAGCACCTCAATCCATGGGTGATACCAGATGAGAGACTCCCCCCTGGGCACACAGAAGAAGACTGGGCGACTTGGAAGGCGCTGAACAGACTGCGCTCTGGCACCACAAGATGCAGAGCCAACTTCAAGAAAGTGGAATCCTCAACATGCGAGTGCGGAGAAGAGCCAACCACTGACCACCTGCTGCAATGCACCCTGAGCCCTGCCACATGCACAATGGAGGACCTCCTTGCAGCAACACCAGAGGCACTCCAAGTGGCCAGATACTGGTCAAAGGACATTTAATCAGCTACTAAGTTTGCAAAATTTGTGGGTTTTTTAAAATCTGTTTGTTTTGTTCTGTTAGAAATGTAATACAATGTTCTGGTTGCGGATGGCACAATAAATAAATATACCGGGGCTCCATATATATAAATTTATAATAAATATTATATAATTTATAATGTATATAAATGTCCTAAATAAATAAACAAACAAATAAAACATAGGAAATGCCTAAATATGTTCCCAACGCTTATTTCTATTTTTTTAAAGCATCATTTAGGAATTGTGGGAGTTGAAGTCCAAAACACCTGGATGCCTGCTCCAAAGTCATCTTAGGGTGCATCTACACTGTGGAATTAGCACACTTTGACACCACTTCCAAGTACTCAAATGCTATGGGATGATAAATTGTATGGATGATGAATGGTAGTTTTACAAGGTGTTTACCAATCCCAGGACTCCCTAGCCTTGAGCCATGGCAGCCAAACTTTGCTTCTTCCCAACCTGCTCACACTACTACATCACTATAAGGCTATGCATTCCACCTTTAACTCCCCACACTTATCAATTCACCGAATGGCATGCTGGGAGGTGGAGTCCAGGGAAGCGGGCTTAGAACGCTCAGCGCGCCTGCCTCAACTACAAGACCCAGAATCCAACGGGGGCCTGAGTGGGCGGGGCGTCGCTCTGGGTGATCACGTGACGGCAGGCCATTCTCCCTCCCTTTCAGTTGGTGTGTTTTGGCTTTCGGTTGTGATGTGACGAAGCTTCGTCAGTCAGTCAGGAGGCGGGCAGGCCTGAAAGACACAGAGCAAGCTGGAGTCAAGCAGGTGAGTGATAGGAAGGGGAAAGGGGGCCAAACAAGGCCTTCTTGAAGTCACAAGGCCTTGTTTATCCTTCTCCTTCTATTGGGAGGTGAGGTTTGGATACTCTAACACAGGCCTGAGCCAACTTGGGCCTTCCAGGTGTTTTGGACTCCAACTCCCACCATTCCTGACAGCCTCAGGCCCTTTCCTTTCCCCCCTCAGCCGCTAAGCGGCTGAGGGGGGAAAGGAAAGGGCCTGAGGCTGTCAGGAATGGTGGGAGTTGGAGTCCAAAACACCTGGAAGGCCCAAATTGGCTCAGGCCTGGCCTAGATACATCAGCACAGTAAAATGCTGTCCTTTATACAGATCTTGGGATATTTGGGGGGATGGAACCCAAGTCAAAGCCTGGCATTAATTTATATCTCGTGTACACCAAATTATTGTTGTTGTTGATTCGTTCAGTCGTCTCCGATTCTTCGTGACCTCATGGACCAGCCCACGCCAGAGCTCCCTGTCGGCTGTCACCACCCCCAGCTCCTTCAAGGTCAGTCCAGTCACTTCAAGGATGCCATCCATCCATCTTGCCCTTGGTCGGCCCCTCTTCCTTTTGCCTTCCACTTTCCCCAGCATAATTTTCTTCTCTAGGCTTTGCTGTCTCCTCATGATGTGGCCAAAGTACTTCAACTTTGTCTCTAGTATCCTTCCCTCCAGTGAGCAGTCGGGCTTTATTTCCTGGAGGATGGACTGGTTGGATCTTCTGGCAGTCCAAGGCACTCTCAGAACTTTCCTCCAACACCACAGTCAAAAGCATCTATCTTCCTTCGCTCAGCCTTCCCTAAGGTCCAGCTCACACATCCGTAGGTTACTACAGGGAATACCATGGCTTTGACTAGGCGGATCTTTGTTGCCAGTCTGATGTCTCTACTCTTTACTATTTTATCGAGACTGGACATTGCTCTCCCCCCAAGAAGTAAGCGTCTTCTGATTTCCTGGCCACAGTCTGCATCTGCAGTAATCTTTGCACCTAGAAATACAAAGTCTGTCACGGCCTCCACATTTTCTCCCTCTATTTTCCAGTTGTCAATCATTCTTGTTGCCATGATCTTGGTTTTTTTGATGTTTAGCTGCAACCCAGCTTTTGCGCTTTCTTCTTTCACCTTGATTAGAAGGCTCCTCAGCTCCTCCTCGCTTTCGGCCATCAGAGTGGTGTCATCTGCATATCTGAGGTTGTTAATGTTTCTTCCAGCAATTTTCACCCCACCTTTGCATTCATCAAGCCCCGCACATCGCATGATGTGTTCTGCATACAAGTTAAAAAGGTTGGGTGAGAGTATGCAGCCTTGCCGTACGCCTTTCCCAATCTTGAACCAGTCTGTTGTTCCGTGGTCAGTTCTGACTGTTGCTACTTGGTCCTTGTACAGATTCCTCAGGAGAGAGACAAGGTGGCTTGGGATGCCCATCCCGCCAAGAACTTGCCACAATTTATTATGATCCACACAGTCAAAGGCTTTAGAATAGTCAATGAAGCAGAAGTAGATGTTTTTCTGAAACTCCCTGCCTTTCTCCATTATCCAGCGGATATTGTCAATCTGGTCTCTCGTTCCTCTGCCTTTTCTAAACCCAGCTTGAACATCTGGCAACTCTCGCTCCATGTATTGCTGGAGTCTTCCTTGCAGGATCTTGAGCATTACCTTACTGGCATGAGACATAAGGGCCACTGTACGGAAGTTGGAGCAGTCTTTCGCATTTCCCTTTTTTGGTATGGGGATATATGGGGTATGGGGACCAAATAGTCCAGTGGATTTTATTTACTAGTCAGATGTGAGCTAGGCAGATGGATCTGTAAATTGGTTAAGTGAACGAACCCAGAGGGTGATTCTCACCCAGGCTTCCTCTTCATCCTGGAAATAAGTGATAAGTGGAGTGCCTTTATTTATTTATTTAGCAGTTTTGTATACTGGTCTTCTCACCTCCATCGAGGGACTCAGGCCGGTTTCCAACAACAATATTACAACAATCATTAAAAACATTGTATTACAGATTACATTAAGACATTAAAAACAAATACAATCATATAATTACAATGGTCAGTCGTCATCATAAAGTCATAATTCGTCGACATCCACCCATATCACAGGACTTGACTCATTCTTCGAATGCCAGTTTCCAGAGTCAAGTTTTCACCTGTTTTCTGAACGTCAAGATAGAAGGGGCCATTCTGATCTCCAGTGGAAGGGAGTTCCAGAGTCGAGGGGCCACCACCGAGAAGGCCCTGTCCCTCCTCCCCACCAGATGCGCTTGTGAGGCCGGTGGGACCGAGAGCAGGGCCCCTCCAGGTGATCTTAGCAATCTTGATGGTTCATAGGGGAGGATACGTTCAGACAGGAAACTGGGCCTGGGTCCTGGGTCCGGTTCTGTCCAACATCTTTATTAATGACTTAGATGAAGGGTTAGAAGGCATGATCCTCAAATTTGTAGACGACACCAAGTTGAGAGGGATAGCCAATACTCCAGAAGACAGAAGCAGAATTCAAAACCATCTTAACAGATTAGAGATATAGGGCAAAACAGATTAGAGAGAGGGCCCCTTCTATACAGCTGAATAAAATCCCACATTGTTTTCTTTAAACTGGAATATATAGCAGTGTGGACTCAGATAATCCATTTCAAAGCAGATATTGTGGGTTGTTGTTATTATTATTATTATTGTCGGATCCTCCTCTTGATGTTTGACATTGTCCTATCTCCCAGTGTTTTAAAATTTTATCCTGAATTTGGCCCTGGCCAGCTAAATCTTTTGTGTTTTAATGCCTGATTTTATATTGTTGTGTTGCTTATTACATTGTTTTGCATTTTATGTTTTTTGTGTTATATTGTTGTGTGTTATACTGATGGGTGTGGCCTCATGTAAGCCGCACCAAGTCCCTCTGGGGGAGATGGAGCGGGGTAGAAATAAAGTTTTATATTATTATTATTATTATTATTATTATTATTATTATTATTATTATTCTGCCGTGATATTCTGGTTTATATGGCTGTGTGGAAGGGCCAAAAATGAAGTTCAACGGGGACAAATGCAAGATACTCCACTTAGGCAGAAAAAAATGAAATGCAAAGATACAGAATGCCTGGCTTTTGGAGTCCTCGTGGACAGGAAGGTGAACGTGAGCCAACAATGTCCTGTGGTAGCAAAAAAGGCTAATGGAATTTTGGCCTGCATCAATAGGAGTCTAGTGCCTAGATCCAGGGAAGTCATGCTACTGCTCTATTCCGCCTTGGTCAGACCACACCTAGAATCACATTGTGTCCAATTCTGGGCACCACAATTGAAGGGAAATGTTGACAAACTGGAATGTGTCCAGAGGAGGACAACCCAAATGATCAAGGGTCTGGAAAACAAGCCCTATGAGGAGTGGTTTAAAGAGCTAGACATGTTAGCCTGAAGAAGAGAAGGCTGAGAGGAGACATGATGGCCATGTATAAATATGTGAGGGGGAGTTATAGAGAGGAGGGAGCAGGCTTGTTTTCTGCTGCCCTGGAGATTAGGATGCGGAACAATGACTTCAAATTACAGGAAAGGAGCTTCCACCTGAACATTAGGAAGAACTTCCTGACTGTGAGAGCTGTTCAGCAGTGGAACTCTCTGCTCCGGAATGTAGAGACTAGGACACAATGGATTCAAATTGCAAGAAAAAAGTTTCCACCTAAACATTCGAAAGAATTTCCTAATAATGGTAAGAGCTGTTCAGCAGTGGAATATTCTACCTTGGAGTATGGTGGAGGTCATTAAACAGAATATTCCTTGGGCCAAATACAGCAAATCATTCTAAAAACAAGAGCATAGACATTACACCAGTGGTTGAGATATTTTTCAAGCTTTCCCTAGCAAATCATTCTATGGAAACTTGGGTGCATCTGCTTTACTAGTTTTCTTAAGAAGGCACACCCCTTTTAAAATTTGCTCATGTTTAGCTTTCACAATGTATTTTGCTTTCTTTTTTTCTCTTCTCTGTGGCCATGTGGTAAATGTGTATGAACCAAATACAACTGAAAGCAAAACTAATGAATCTGTTTTACTGCCACGTCCCAAGCAGCAGATGGCAATGTTTAAAGATCTTTGCCAGATCTTCTAGCAGTCGTAAAATGAATCTTTAAGAGGCTCCACATCGAGGTCTTTTTACAAATAATTTTATTTTTCTCCTTTAATTTATTCTGGTTTTCTGGAAGAGAGGGTTTCTTCTCTCCCCGTCACCAGCTGCTTGGGAATCCCTCCATTCCTTAGTGAGCTTTGCTTTCTGTTTTCCCGATTTGGCTCAAAGAGAAATGGTGATGCCAGGCGAGAAGGCTACAGATTTGGCGGAAAGGGGCTTTTGTGGGGAAATTGAACAAAGCTAAGCCACTGACCTTCTGCTTATCCATATGGTACTGATAGCGAAAGTCTATATGAAGGAACCAGGAGTTGCTTTTCCTGGCTTCCTACTCATATCAGAACTCCAGAAATACCAAAATATTGGTCGGCTTTCATTGGCTACATCTGTAAAACCTGGCAGCAGCTCCGGCTGTGCTGAGATCCTTGGCAGATGCTTAAATGTGGCAAACGTGGTGGAGATGGCAAGGAGAAGCAGCGACAGCTGTACTCCTTAGACCACTTCCTCTTCAGGATGGTGGATTTTGCTCCAAAAAGTGATTTAAAGATTGCTGTCTTTGGAACCTTCATTTTCATCTTGTTTGTGCCAAACTTGTCAACAGGCCTTTTAATAGTAGCTCTGAAGACTTCTGTGGGTGCTTTGAAAGTCTTCGTTTCTTCATTACTTGAAGATCTAACAGCTCTTTCTGTGTTCATTTGACTGTATTATCAGTTAGATATTCTTATTTTTTTCCAACAAGCAGAATATATTTTTTATTTTTTTTTGTGACAGGAGCGACTTGAAAAACTGCAAGTCGCTTCTGGTGTGAGAAAATTGGCCGTCTGCAAGGATGTTGCCCATGGAACGCCCGGATGTTTTGATGTTTTACCATCCTTGTGGGAGGCTTCTCTCATGTCCCCGCATGGGGAGCTGGAACTGACAGAGGGAGCTCATCCACACTCTCTCGGATTTAAACCTCTGACCTGTTGGTCTTCAGTCCTCCCAGTATGAGGGTTTAAACCGCTGCACCACAAGCAGAAGATGAGGTAGATAGACAGTTCATCTCCTCACAAAAAGGCCCTACAAAGGATGTCGGGTTGAGAGAGAGTGAACGAAGATCACCTGAGTTTCATGGCTCAGTCAGGTATTGAGCATGAAACCAGTACGTTTTAGTCTATCATATAAACCACCATATTGTGCTGGTTCTAATTTCGTTCTTAGGTTTCATATCACCAGGTATGTAAAGCCTTTCTAGGATTTAAATTTGATTAGATTTGTGGAATAAAATAACTATTATTTTAGTAAAGAGACGGAGCTGTGTTTGACCCCAGCATCTGTTAAATGAGCATTTTATCTGTTAATCCAATTTACAAGTGCACGCATTAGACTCTTGCCAGAATATGATTTTAACCTGTCAGGGGCTTCTTATAAAAATGGTTTACATGAGGAGAGCAGTTATATGAGCAAATAAAAACATCATGATAAATCATTAGCAAACATCTGTTCCATATTTATTGATTATTTCTTACTCAGCCTCAGATGAATGTTGTGTTTGCTTGTATAATGTTCTTTATGACTTCCATTTCATTTTTATTTTCTGCTAGAAATATGCTTGGCTGGCAGCCTGGAGCTTAAACTTTATTGATACCAGAAATATAAAGCATCATAATTTAATATTGTTATAAGAATAGGCCAAACAAAGATTGAACAACATTACACTCTTTCACAACTGTTGCATCCCAGGAGAGATAAGGTCTAAGTCACTTGTAGCTTTCGTGATAGTCACTTTTAAAGAGGCATAATCTTCTGCATAAATACAATCTCCTAACCAAGTTCCAAGGAGACTTATTCTTTATGTTTCTACCACATTTGGCGGGAATAGTTAATGACAGAATTCCTAGTTTCCATTTCAATAATAGAGTTGGAAGAGACACAAGGGCCACCCAGTCCAGCCTTCTGCTATTTAGAAAAATTCAGAACTTTCCCATGTTTCAAAAACAACTTCCACTTTGTAAAATCAAGAAATGCTTTGGGTGGCCTTTGGCTCTTAACTCATATGGCAAAAGGATCTTTATTAGAGGTGCTGTGTTTTGGCCTTATTACTGTATTTTAAATGTGTTTTAAACCATTTCAGCTTTGAGCACTTAAAGTGAGAGCAGCTTTAGGTTGTTATATTATTAATACTGTAATAGGAATAAGAATTAAGTATTAAAGATAATTGATACCCTCCTCTCCTCATGGCTCAAAGTAGATTAAAACACATTATCATAAAATGCATGTGTATGTGTGTGTATATATTTGTGTGTGTATATCTCCACCCCCACCCCCCTCGCAAGCGCAACTGTGGGGACGAGAGACAGGCCCTTCTCTGTGGTGGTCCCTTCGTTGTGGAACTCCCTCCCCGGTGACATTAGGCTGGCCCCATCCCTCCTGGTCTTCAGGAAGAGGTTAAAGACCTCTTTAACAGGCATTTGGAGAATAGGATAATACAGAATCACCCCCAACAACTTGAATAATGACCATGAGAAGGTCGGTGTGTATTCAAACCAAGAATCAGCACTTTATTAAGTTTTAATCAGTGATCTTTTAAAATTTGTTTTATTGCTTTTGTGTGCATTAATTTGTTTATATGTTTTATAGTTTGATATGGTTTGTTTTATGATGTGGCATTGAGTTTGTAAGCCGCTTTGAGTTCCCTGCAGCATGAGAAAAGTGGCATATAAATAAAGTAAACACATACATACATGCATATATGTATACACACATAGGACTAAGGTTAGTCCATCTAACCCAGTATTATTTTCATTAGGAATGGACAAAACACACCACACCAGTTTTACTTGGTGCCCAAGACTATCTCAGCAGCCTTTGTCTACTCACCTGATGCTCCTGGTGGTAAAAAGGTTTATTTTCACCACTTCTGGAGGCTTCTAGGAACTGGATTTGGTAAAAAAATGAAGTATAGCTTACCCCCAAATCCAAATACAGTCTGCTGTATTCAACCATTCACATTCCAAAACTCATTTTACACAAGAGACAGCATTTTATTGTGTCATTGTATATAATAGATTTTGGTATCCATTGAGGGTCCTGGAACCAAGACCTACTGGAAAATGAAACATGAAGCAGAAAAGAAGACACTACAGGTTTGATAGGGAACAGAGACAGAAAGGCCCATTAAAGAACTACCTCCTTGCAATTCTGTTGTTTCACTAGGTAAAAACAGGGTTTCCCTCCCTTAATTTCTCACTTTTTGTCTCCCAGACCTTCATATTTTGAGTGGGGTGGGGGATTTTTAGACCAAACATATCCTGGATCATTTCACTGAAACCTAAACTTGGCCTTTCAGCCTTCCACAGCTGCCTAGCCTGTTCTTCATTGAACAGCAGTGTACAAGGTGCAGGTGCTTACCTACAAAGCCCTAAACGGTTTGGGACCCGCCTACCTGCGTGACCGCATTTCGATATTCGAACCCACACAATCTCTTCGATCTTCTGGAGAGGCCCTGCTCGCTATTCCACCTGCATCACAGGCGCAATTGGTGGGGACAAGGGACAGGGCCTTCTCTGTGGTGGCCCCTCGACTCTGGAACTCACTCCCCAAGGATATCAGGCACGCCCCGACGTTGGTAGTCTTTAGGAGGAGTTTGAAAACGTGGCTGTTTCAGTGTGCCTTCCCAGAATAGGAAACTCCAAGCACCTTGTCCCAAATGCACTTTACTAGAGATCTAGGACTGTCTGCACGCCCTACCTATCGCCAAAACATCCATCCATTTTACTCGGTCATGCCCTGCTTTTTAAAATTTTAACCATTACATCCGGCCCTGACATTGGTTTTAATTCCGTTGTGTTGTTATTGTTATGTTTGTTGCTTGAGTTTTATTTACTGCTGTATTGTTGTTTGTCTTGTTTATTGTTGTATTGGACCTTGGCCTGTTGTAAGCTGCACCGAGTCCTTCGGGAGATGCTAGCGGGTTATAAATAAAGGATTATTATTATTATTATTATTATTATTATTATTATTATTATTATTACCAGGTTTCACACAGTGAGCCTGGAGCATTTGCCGGAAGGCCTTCTGTCCAAAATTGCCCTTCACTTGATAGTGAAAAGGCAGTATCTTTAATGAATATGTTCTTTTTGGGAACTGAAAAAGTAGAATGTTCATTTTGATTTGCCCACAAGGTTGCACTGTGCGTTAGACTAGATAATATATAGAAAACTATACATTTTAATTTCTTTTCTACACTAGGATGGCACAGGACAAGTACCTTTCGGCGAAGTTGAAAACTTTCTTACGGGAAGACAAAATTCAGCTCTGGAAACCTCCCTATACAAACAGCAACCAAGAGGCGGGTGAGGAACTGAAGGCAAGTACTTGGAGGCTGCCATATTGTGGCTGCTTTCAATTTCATGCATATTTACTGCTTTCATGTTCTGAACAAATGCCTTTTTTATTGTCCCAGAATCTCGCGGTGCAATATTCAGCCAGGCTAAATTATAATGACAATGAAATAGCAGCCCTTCTGGAAGAAATACGCTGTAAAGCAGTCGAGCGGGGAACGGGAAATGAAGCTTACAAGACGACAGGCGTTGCAACGCTTGAAGTAGCCTTGCCTGCAAGGATGGGTAAAGTAAGCAATTGTTTAATGTTACCTAAAGAAGCGTATTCTAAAATGTGTAGCAATGGTTGTGGGAGTATAATGAGTAATAATATTTCATGCGTACAAAAGAGGCAAATAAGCTGGCAAGAAAGGATTTTCAGTTTTATTTAGGGACGAGGTTGTCTGAGAAGGATCCATTGGGGTTGACTGACTTCCTTTACCTTGAAAGTTCAATGGAAGTGAATTCACATTGGAAAAATAACAAAATATTGTACACCCTTTGGGGAGATGGTAGCGGGTTATAAATAAAGTGTATTATTATTATTATTATTATTATTATTATTATTATTATTATTATTATTATTATCAGGGTGGCCAATTGCGACATTTACACTTGCCTCCAACAGACAAGAGTTCTTTCTTCCACCCTGGACATTCCTCAGATGTATAAACCCCACTTGCCTAGTTTCCAATAGATCTCACAACCTCTGATGATGCCTGCCATAGATGTGGGCAAAACATCAGGAGAGAATGCTTCTGGAATATGGCCATACAGCCCGGAAAACTCACAGCAACCCATTTTGGAATACATTCCCTTTCCTTCTGAATGATAAACTTTTGAATTCCTATGTCATGGCCTTTAAAACGAAACAGTATTTGTGGGACTGGGAGGATACTGTAAACAGTCAATCTCTATATTTCGGACCGATTGTGAGACATGAGGTGGGATGAGGCAGGGAGAAATCCAGAGCAAAATTCAGAGTAGAATGTAGTTAGTGTGGTTAATTTTAATTTAGTATTTATATCTTCCAAACCTTTACAGACACGGAAAAATATGCTGGAGACAAAATTGGTCATCACAGGCAAGGAGCTGAGATCTCAGTAAGTAACTACTGTTTCTCTTTTTGAAGATACTTTGTGTATAGTATACTCAGTTTAGTAATGTTTTCAAATTATACTCAGTAACGCCCTGTAACAGCATATTTTCCAACAACAGCTTTCCATATTCATTGGAGTTAAGAATGAAGGATTCCCATGAAAGTGGGGAAATGCCAAATTAAAAAAACCTGATTTTTTTACCTCTTTAGCAATCTCTAGATTCTATAGCAGAAGTCTGTGGTCAACATCTGATGGAAGCTGACCATATATTGCATTGAAGGTCTTAAATATTCCTATAGAGAACATTTTTATCAAATCCACAAAGATCAAACCTATAAATATAGTGTGTTGATTTTATGTATGTGTGTGTGTATAATATATCTATGTATATGGAGGAGCCCTTGATGGCGCAATGGGTTAAACCTGTGTGCCAGCTGAACTGCTGACCTGAAGGTCAGTGGTTCAAATTTGTGAGACAGGATTTTTTTTTTTTATCGTGTCAGGAGCAACTTGAGAAACTGCAAGTCGCTTCTGGTATGAGAGAATTGGCCGTCTGCAAGGACGTTGCCCAGGGGACGCCCGGATGATTTGATGTTTTTATCATCCTTGTGGGAGGCTTCTCTCATGTCCCTGCATGAGGAGCTGGAGCTGATAGAGGGAGCTCATCCGCCTCTCCCGGATTCGAACCTGCGACCTGTCGGTCTTCAGTCTGCCGGCACAGGGGTTTAACCCACTGCGCCACTGGGGGCTCCAATTTGGAGATGAGCTCCCATCTGTCAGCTCCAGCTTCCCATGTGGACATGAGAGAAGCCTCCCACAGGATGGTAAAACATCTGGGCATCTCCTGGGCAATGTCCTTGTAGACGACCAATTCTCTCACACTAGAAGCGACTTGCAGTTTCTCAAGTCACTCCTGACACAAAAAAATGTATATGGCAAAGTATATGTATTTGTTTGTAGTAGTTTGTTTATATGGAACAAACATGTGGAGCTGAGAGGGACCTCTGACTGGTTGGTTCTGTATTATTGGCCTACATCATTCAAGCTTAAAGAATAACTATTGGAAAAGATCCTGTCTTGTCTTATAATGCCGTGTGCTGCTGCTAGCTTGCAAAATGGCGAGTTATTTCTTCGCCATTGTATTAATAATTGTGCAAAAATAACATGATATACAAAAATGATTCTGAAAATGAAGACATTTATTTCAACAATGTAGGCAGTAAATCTTAAAATTGAACTTTTAGTATCTATTGCTTTACTCCACAGAATAGCACAGACATATGGATTTGAAGAAAATTGTATCAAAGTAATTATAAACAAGAAGCAACTTGATCTAGGTATGTAACACTTGTTTCAAAACTATTTAACTAAACAGTTGTACAGCTGCATTCTGGCTTTATGTTGGGAAATATAATTTTACTTGGCCTATCAATCTCTCTCCCTTTTATAGGGAAGACACTAGAAGAGCAAGGCGTAACACACAACGTCAAGGTCATGGTGCTTGAGCTGAAGCTGAGTGAAGACGAGACCAGAAGGAGAGTTCGCGAAGAGGAAATGCAACGTGAGGAAGAGGCAGCGAAGACAAAAGAAGTGAATAAAAAGATGCAGAGGACAAAAAAGGGATTAGAAATACTGGCAGACAGAAGTAAGTGAAATACTGATAAAATACTGGCAAAAAGGAAGAAAAAGTATGAAAAGGCTTTCTTAAAGATCTGTAGCCTTTGTAAAACAGGGCATTTCTCCTCTTTGCAGAAACACCCTGAGGACTTCAGATATGGGAAAGTTCTGTTAGTGGTGTCTGAGTCCCCTTCTACACAGCTGAATAAAATCCCACATTTTCTGCTTTGAACTGGAATATATGGCAGTGTGGACTCGGATAACCAGTTCAAAGCAGATATTGTGGGATTTTTTGCCTTGATATTTTGGGTTATATGGCTCTGTGGAAAGGCCCTGAGTCCTGTGTGGAAAACTTCTCCTAAATTCAGTCTTAGGAATCAAGTTTGTATCAAATTATTAGTTGTGGTTTACTTTCAAGTAAACCACAATGCATAATAAACATTTATGTCTTTCAAAGAGTCAAGATATGAATAAGCTGCACTAGAAGCCCTGAGTGGGCCTTTTTTCTCCCTTTGCTGGTTAACAGTTACATTAGTGCACTCTTGTTAGGGTCTTCAAAAGGCTTAAAGGTTCTTAGTAAGAGTTACTCAAGTCCAATTTTTAATTCTGTCTTCTAACCAACTTTTTCTGAATTTCTCTTGGTTTAGTTCTTGAATAAGTGTCCAGATGATGAGATACATAGGCAAAATGTATCTCATTTTGAAGCTGTGATTTATAAGGCTGAAGCTGTGATTTATAAGGCTGAAGCTGCCGATATAGTTCTGCCAGAAATTGACAATAGAATTGCACTGGATACTTAAGAGAGGACACTTCCCTTAGCCTCACTAGATCCTCCAGCACAATTCTGTGGTATGCTTCAGTCATCATACAGGGTTCCAAATTATATATGAAAGTCATACTACACAAAGAGTACTGGAACAGATCCATTGCTAATTGATAGCTTACTGTACTGATATGCCAGCAAAGCAGTGCAGTGGCTTGAGAATTTCCAAAGAGGAATATTCAAATTAATGCTTGGTCGTGGAAAACGTCCCACACCAAGCCACCTCTGAAGAAATCTCACCAAGAAAACTGTAAACATCACAATCTATTTGAGGTCACATAACAGCCACAACATCAAAATTGCTTTGTCTTCCTCCTCCTGCATAAAGCATTCAATCTGAACTGAAAACAACCTAGGGCTCTTCCACACTGGCTCTTTATCCCAGGATCTGATCCCAGATTATCTGGCAGTGGGAATCATATAATGCAGTTTAAAGCAGATTCTGGGATAAAGGGCAGTGTGGGAAGGCCCCCCAGTGAAATAGTCTGGTTACATTTGTGCTTGGTTTGTATTTAAAGATTTCAGGTAATGGCCAAGAGTGACATTATTTATTATTATTTACATTTATATTCCACCCTTTTCACCCCGAAAGGGACTCAGGGTGGAACATAGAACACATTTACGACAAACATTTAATGCCATTTATACATTGACAAGATAGTTGTACATAGATAGGCTTTCCCCATCTTCAGCATCTTGGAGGCTTGTGCTCGCTTCTGGCCACTGGGGGGGTAGGGTGCTGTCGCTCCATCTTCCCTGCCGAAGAACTTTGTTCCTCCTTGATCGAATCGCCAGAAATTTTTTTGGCATTTTCTTATGGGTGCCTTAAATACCTCCCCGCTTTTAAGCGGTACCTATTTATCTACTCACATTTTGCTTTTGAATAGCTAGGTAGGCAGAAGCTGGGCTAAAGGCTAGGAGCTTACCCCAACCTGGGCTTCGAACTGTCAACTTTTCGATTGAAAAGATTTACTGTACCTCCTGTGCTAAAGCCCATCCCTTCTTTATTTCCCTGTCTGTTTTGTTTGCTCTTGTTGCAGAGGATTCTATGGATCCGGATAGCGTACCTTACTTGGACATAGCGAACCAGACTGGAAGAACCATAAAAATTCCCCCAGAAGCCAAAAAAGTGAGTGTAAGCTATAAGAGTGACAAGTATGGTTGGGATGATTCATTTTTATTTACAGTCTGGTTAATACTAAAAGGGTAACGTTGGTGAAATCCTCTTCCCTCCTGTGTTTTTGCAGGCTCTTTTGTTAGCTATGGGATATCATGAAAAGGGGAGAGCCCTGCTGAAGAAAAAAGAATACGCCATGGCATTGCCATTCCTGTTAGATGCTGATAAACACTTCTGGTAGGAATCTTGTTTGTTGAAAAACTTCTGATAATCTTATTGTGTTTTATAGAGCAACCTCATTGAGGGCAGTAGTGTGAAAGCAACAAAACTGCCATATGCAATGAAAATGTGCCATAGGATCTATGACAGGCGTGGGCCAACTTTGGCCCTCCAGGTTTTTGGACTCCCAATTCCCACAATTCCTAACAGCTTACCGGCTGTTGGGAATTGTGGGAATTGAAGTCCAAAAACATGGAGGGCCGAAGTTGGCCCATGCCTGAGCTATAACTATGCCCTTAGTGTTGACAACATCACCATTATAGGAAGTAGCTGGGATAATGCTCTCAATAGTCTCGCAGAACAGATTCCATTCACAGTCATGCTGCATTTCCTTTAACACACGAGACCTTGAATGACATGATCAGAGACCCAAATGAATACACACTCACTTTAAGTATTCTTGGTAAAGTAAAGGCAGACAGGAACATAAGGGTTTGGCCACTAATAGTAATACTTCCGGAGTACCTATTTGGGCCAGTTTTTCCATGTTTGGGAAGTGCAGTGAAGGAGGGGGGAAAGGCCAGCACAGTCCATTAAGACAAGACATTCACATCAAGACTATGGAAGTTGAGCTAGAGGTGGGAGATAGTTCAGCAGTCACATGCTTGCCTGGATACTGTCAGCTTAACTGGGTACTTTGTTCCAATATCTTTCATTCTTAGAGTGGAGTTTGTCAAGAGTCCAAAAGCAAGATCCTTGTAAGTGTTCTAAGCCAGGCTGTTTAGTGTTCAGAGTGCTTCCATTTTTGTGCAAAGAGCTTTGCCATCCCCAGACTACCTCCTTGCGGAGTCCATGTATGTACAACATAGAACCAGAGAGAAATAAAATACTGGGTTGTTGTAGGTTTTTTCGGGCTGTATGGCCATGTTCTAGAGGCATTCTCTCCTGACGTTTCGCCTGCATCTATGGCAAGCATCCTCAGAGGTAGTGAGGTCTGTTGGAAATAGGAAAATGGGTTTATATATCTGTGGAATGACCAGGGTGGGACAAAGGACTCTTGTCTGCTGGAGCTAGGTGTGAATGTTTCAACTGACCACCTTGATTAGCATACTGACCTTGCCTGGAGCAAACTTTTGTTGAGAGGTAATTCTTGTTTGTTTCCTCTCTGTTGTTGTGCCGTTGCAGTTTTAGAGTTTTTTACTGGTAGCCAGATTTTGTTCATTTTCATGGTTTCCTCCTTTCTGTTGAAATTGTCCACATGCTTGTGTATTTCAGTGGCTTCTCTGTGTAGTCTGACATGGTTGTGAGAGTGGTCCAGCATTTCTGTGTTCTCAAATAATATGCTGTGTCCAGGTTGGTTCATCAGGTGCTCTGCTATGGCTGACTTCTCTGGTTGAAGTAGTCTGCAGTGCCTTTCATGTTCCTTAACCAGGAGACAAGAGTCCTTTGTCCCACCCTGGTCATTCCACAGATATATAAACCCTTTTTCCTAGTTCCAACAGACCTCACTACCTCTGAGGATGCTTGCCATAGATGCAGGCGAAACATCAGGAGAGAATGCCTCTAGACCATGGCCATATAGCCCGAAAAAACCTACAACAACCAGTGATTCTGGCCATGAAAGCCTTCGACAATACAATAAAATACTGCCTTGCTATTCTTACTCAGCTGAGGTGGTCTGCTTCTGTGTGTGTGTGTGTGTTGGGATGGAGCGAGTTATGCTGTCTGTTGTGAACCGTAGCACTTTATAGTGTTACACTATACCCTCTGATGAAGTGCATAGGGGTTGTCACTGGGAATAGGAATCTTTTTTTAAATTAATTGTGGGTCACCTCTCTCATTGAAGTCAGTGGAAGGGAAATTTATTCAGCCAGATTTGATATTGGTGTAATAGTACACTATTGGTATAACCACAGATGTAACTAGGATCCAGCATGAATTTGCTCAACAGCAAATTCATGCAGCAAATGTTGAGCTACTGAACTTGCTGATGAAAGGTTGGTGGTTCGAATCCAGGGGTGAGCTCCCACTGTTAGCCTCAGCTTCTGCTAACCTATCAGTTCGAAAACATGCAAATATGAGTAGATCAATAGGTACCGCTTCTGTGGGAAGGTAACAGCACTCCATAAAATCATGCCAGCCACATGACCTTGGAAGTGTCTACAGACAACGGCCGCTCTTCAGTTTAGAAATGGAAATGAGCACCACCCCCCAGAGTTGGACACGACTAGACTTAATGTCAGAGGAAACCTTTACCTTTACTGTTAGTGGCTTTCACCTCCTGCTGCCTACTTAGCCCATTCACTTTACACCGTTGGTGTGTTTTTGCTATAAAGAGGTGTTTCCTTAAAATCCAAACAGGCCCATAACCTGAAACTCCTCAATGTCAACCTACTTTCATAGGCACAAGCTAGATTTTCAAGACCAATAATATTTTAGTGTCTATGTTGTGTTCATATGGATTCTATCTATGGTTGGACATGTTTGCAATGAAATTGTTTCTTTTCCTTGTTGCTTTTTAGTGAATGTGGTTCAGAACTCCTGACCACAGTTGATAATTATGCAGTGCTGCAGCTGGACATCGTCTGGGGCTACTTCCACTTAGGACAGCTGGACTGCCTGGACGATGCTGAGAAGAAGCTCCTTGCAGCCCACGATTGCTTCAGAAGGTGCTATGGAGAGAACCACGAAAGGCTGGTTACTATAAAGGTAGGCCAAAGAGATTGTCCTTGCTCTGTGTGTTGTCCTTGACATTTAGGACTTTAAAATCTGAGAAATCTATTGTTAGGAAAACCCACAGAATGGATACAAAATGTGGCAGGTGCGTTTTATTTTGGGGCAGTTGGACTCATTCTCTACTGATCAGATTTCATATCTAGCTATTTTAGATTATTGCTCAAATGCCTGCTTTGTCGTTTCCTGTATGATACTTATATTGAGGTCTATTTTGCAACTGAATTCCATTTGCAACTGCCTCTTCCTATCTAGAGAAAGTAAATGTCATTGCTTCATTTCTTCCAAGAGACCAGAGCAGGGTCAGAGCTTGAATGTTGTTCCATGTATATACCTGATTATCATTTTTGCTTGCTTTTTTACTTTGGGATCCCACCCTTTTCACTTTTTCTCACATGTTCGGGTGCATGTAAGTTTGTAAGCTCTTCAGTAAATAAAACTGTCTTTGTTAGGTCTTTGAATCTGACCCATTTGTAAATACTTTTCTTACCCTTTAGGGAAGTTCCGGGAGAGAAAAGGCTTTATTTCTGAGGCTTTATTTGCTTCAAGGAATAAGTCATTATCATAATGGCAGAGAAAGAGAAGCTGCTGAACATCTTCAGAAGGTATGTTTATATATATTTTTTGGGGAAAAATGGCATTCATAAACTTTTTGAAAGGAAAAAATGATGTCAGATCCTTTTGGCATATGTGAATCTCCATGAACATCTGGAGACCACCTTTTGAAAACCACTAGTCAAGGAAAGGCATGGCCTTGTTAGAAGTCAACCCTTTGAAAAAGTGATATTCACAAGCATTCTTGTAATGGCACACAGCTGTTGAACTGATAAACCATGTCTTTGAACTGCCAGGGACAAAGCCATGCCACTGCACACAAAAAAAAACAACATATACTTAGCTAGCAGAGTTTTAAAATGTTTCTTTGAAGTTGAAGTTGAAATTGCAGTTGCCCAAAACATATACTCTTAGTTTAAAAATAGACACTCAAAGACAAAAGAAAGTCTTGTGCCTTGTTAACTCATAAACATATTGTATTAATTTAGCATACAGGCATATTTCTTATTGAAGTTCAGTTATAGATAGGATGTAATTTCTCTGTGTTGAGAACACAGGGTATAATTCTTAATCAGAATCAGCGCTTAATGTTCCAAGCCTATTATGAAACATGGCAGGTATCTCAATTGTACACAAGAGCACATAGGATCATATTGCATAATTTTCTCCTTCCTAAGGAGTCTATAGCAGACACAGGCAAACTTCAGCCCTTCTGATGTTTTGGACTTCAACTTTCAGAATTCCTAACAGCCGAAATTTGCCGATGCCTAGTCTATAGGCTCCTCCTGCTTCAAGTCCTTGTCTTTCTCTTTGCAGGCTCATGGCTTGTTCCAGGAGCTGTGCATCGACCCAGAAAAGATCAACAGCTTGTTACTTCTGGGTTTCTCTGCTCAGGAAGCTCGTCTTGGTCTCCGTGCCTGTGATGGGAATGTGGATCATGCAGCTAGTCATATTTCCAACAGAAGAGAGGTATAGTGTCATGCTTTACCCATAAGGATGTATTTTTGTATTGTTGGGGGTGAGGCAATGTGTGGAATGTAAGGAAATAATAAATATCACCAATTGCTGTAATGCCACAATTCACAAGAGCCACTTAAAATCAAATAGCTAAAAAACAGCTGGGAACAGCTCATGTGTACAGATCTGGAGGTAGTAATTAACCCCCAAAAGCATTCAGCAAAAAGCGATGTAATGCTTGGTCCCAAAATGAAACTGATGCTAGTATGATTTAGGCCTCTATGGGGAAGGTGTTTCTGTATTTAGGATACTAAAGGAAAGATGTTCTTCTCTTATGTCCCCCCTCAATGAGTGGCTTCCATTAGTGGGACACAAAGGATGATCCCTCCAACATATTTTAGTCCTTGAGCAGCCAGATAATGAGCAAGACCTTCCTTCAAAGAACCAGTTTTCTAAGTCTTTTAGGCCTTTAAAATTATAAGTAGCGCCTTGCATTCAGTCCAGTAATTTCTCAACAGCCTTTAGAAAATCAGCATTACAGTCAACCTTCCACATTGGTAGGTTTAAGTTTTGTAGATTTTGATTACACTATGTAACACAATTTTTGTTCCTGGGTTATAAATGTCATTTCCTTTTTTTTTTCAAATGATTTTTTTTCAAATGATTTTTATTAGTAATTTCACAAGAGAAAATAAAATAACATAACAATGTCTAAAGGGAAAAAAGCAAAAAAGAAAAGTAAATGTAATTTCCTAATAGGTTCTATCATTACAAAAAAATGGGAAAAGTTATTAAACTGCAACACATTTTGCTATGGTTATTCACTGAATATCTCACAGAGTCTCAACCAATTCAACATAGTTTGTGGCAGTCACAAAAACAAAGTTTCTGAAGGATATCAACTACTTTCAAAGCACCACACAATTGAACAGTAAATAACACTTTCAAACCAGGAACCAGGCCTGTAGCGAGGGGGGGGCATTAGGGGTTCAACCCCCCCCCCCCCCGTGAACCCCCCCCCCCGAAGTTTTTTTCTGGCTACGGCCCTGCCAGGAACAGAAAAGTTTTCAAATGTTGCTACATATTGTTATTGGTGCATTAATCATAGAATCATAGAGTTGGAAGAGACGTCGTTGGCCATCTAGTACAATCCCTTTCAGCTAAGAAACAGGAAAATTGCATTCAAAGCACTCCCGACAGGTGGCCATCCAGCCTCTGCTTAAAAGACTCCAAAGAAGGCGCCTCCACCACACTCTGGGGGAAAAGAGTTCCATTGCTGGGCAAACTTGGGCCCTCCAGGAGTTTTGGACTTCAACTCCCACAATTCCTAACAGCCAGTAATTGTGGGGGTTGAAGTCCAAAACACCTGGAGGGCCCAAGCCAGCCTATGCCTAGGATAGATATTTTGAGATCTCAGCTTTCAGTCAACATCTTTGTAAAGAAACATGAATGCCTTTGGTGTCTTACACATGTAAGTTCCCCTACAGAAGCAATTTGTCTTTTTTTGTGAGATGCACAAAATATTACATTCAGTTCAAGGTTTGGAAGCGGAGTTGTGCTTATGGAGCTCTTGTGTTTGCAGGCGTGCATTCCCCACTGATGTTGCTGAAATGAGCACTCCTTCAGTTGCACATTTGATTCTGCATTCAGTTGCATGGTATTGCCATTCAACATGTTGGTCTCCTAGCATAATCTGGAGCACTTCTTTGTCATACTTCTGCAGGAGAAGGCTCAAATAAGGAGGGAAGAGAGAGCTAAAAGGCGAAAGCGGATAGAAGATATAAACTCCTTGAAGAGCATGGGCTATTCGGAGCGAGCTGCTAGAGAAGCCCTTCATCAGGCAAAAGGAGACCTTGAACAAGCTGTTAAGGTAAGTGCTCTTTTGTAATGCTGCATCCATTGGAAACAAAGCTTATTCTTTTTCTCAAAAACTATTATTTTCTTAGGCCTGGCCAGATGATATTTCTGCCTCTTCATATTGCTAAAAATGTCAGCTTGGAGCTCATGAGTCAGATTGTTCTACAATCAAATTTGTTTCTATGCAGTATTTTGAACACTGCAAAGTCTTCCTGCATCAAGATCAGCCAAATAAAACAAACTTATTCCAGCCATAGATGTTCATATAAGGAACAGGGAGTAGTAAAGAGTTCTAGATGGCTTAGCAAAGAGTAGTGACTAACTGAATAGTAGGCTCTAGCACAAGCATGTGCAAACTTTGGCCCTCCAGGTGTTTTGGACTTCAACTCCCACAATTCCTAACGGCCTGTCGGCCGTTAGGAATTGTGGGAGTTTAAGGCGAAAACACCTGGAGGGCCAAAGTTTGTTCATGCCTGCTCTAGCATTTCTAGCTAGTGAGATATGACAAAGCAAAAAATCATAATAATATTATATATATTCTAAGTGGCAACAAAATGATTTTGGAGTTGTGTTGACTAGTTCAGTGGAAACAGTGTCCCAGCGTGTAATAGCTGTGATAAAAAAAACAAATTCCATGTTGGGGGCTGGAAACAAAGCTATAATGATGTTTTATACAGATCTATATCTATACATGCTATCATTTCTCGTCCTAGCTTATGCTTGACAACCCCCAGTTACTTTTGCCAGATGATGATGATCCTGGAGATCAGTTTCATGTCCTTCAGGAAAGTGTTGATCAGGTAAGTCTTGACCGTTGAGTATATTTGGAGAGGAGAGGAGGGGGTTATGCATGCACTCCGTTGCAGCAACTCAGGGCTAACAAGGTATTCAGGCAAAAGAAGATGGAAGGGAGGGAGACAGATAGAGAGAGAGAGAGAGAGAGATAGGAAAAATAGAGAGCTGGGTGATTATTTTATTTATCGTGTCAGAACTGAGAATACAGTTATAATGTAGTAGCTGTTCCCTGCTACGCATTGCTGTGGCCCAGTCTGGTGATCTGGAAAATAAAGTAATTGGTTTCTAATACATGTAATTTCTTTATGCTTGTGGTTAAAAAGTATTTCTTGTTGTTTCTTTGTCATTTCTTGTTGTTTCTTTGTCAGCGGTTTAACCCACTGCTCCACTGGGGACTCCTTATTGAATAAGTTGACACGTAATAACTCCGTTGCTTCTTTGTGTTTTTTGATGGATCCAGATATTGGGTATAGTCCTCTTCTTTCCTGCAGAGAGTCTTTTTTTGATTAAACATTTGTGTGTGCAGAATCTACAGATAGACACAGGGATCAAAGAAGGTTAGGACTTGCATCAGAATGGGTTCCAGAACAAAGTCAACAGGGGAAGCCTTCTGTCTGAAGCGGTTCTCACAATATCACAGGCATGGGCAAACTTCGGCCCTCCAGGTGCAACTCCCACAATTCCTAGCAGCCGCTGTTAGGAATTGTGGGAGTTGAAGTCCAGAACACCTGGAGGGCCGAAGTTTGTCCATGCCTGAACTAGAAGCTTGGTTACAATCTTAGAGGTAGATGTGAGGAAACCACCTTTGAATTTCTGTGTAGTTGTAGAGCTCAGTCAGAAGCCTTAAGCGATTGATCTTTTTCTTCCAGCCGAACTTAGTTCATAGAACTTTTCAGAGGTGAAAATATGGCCCTGATCCACTTGGAGGAAAGGGGAGGGGGGATTTATTTTGTGACCATCTACAACAACCTGTACCTCTTCTTTGCCTTTGTTTTGTGCAGTTGGTGTACATGGGATTTAACCCAGAGATAGCAAAACAAGCTCTGAAAGTATTCAAAGGCAACATTCAGCTGGCTGCACAGACGCTGGCCCATTATGGGGGAGTTCTCCCACCTGATTTGCAGGCCTCTTCAGAGACCACCACTCCGTCGGATGAATCCAGTTCATCCAAAGATTCGCCAACTGACTCTGCAGGTAAAAGAGGAAAAGGGGAGAGTGCTCTCAATGTCCTGTGGGTATACACACTATAATAAGGGTATTAACAAAGCTAAACATGTCTAAAATGGACGATCAATATGATAAAGTATCTGAAAAGTCCTGTGGACTTCAAGAGTGTAGTATATTTAGCTCAGGCATGTGCAAACTTCAGCCCTCCAGGTCGTTTTCTGTTGCTCTAGACTGGAACACAAACCAGTGGGTCCAAGCTAAAGAAAAGCAATTCTACATAAACATTGGGAAGAATATAGCTATTCAGCGGTAGAATAACAATAAGGTGGGAGAGGGTGGGACACTCCTCCTTTGGAGATCTTTAAACTTTTGGAACATGGAAACCTCCAGAACCTTTTGGAGATTTTATGATTTTTGGAAAGGCATGACCTTGTTGGAAATTACAATTTTTTGAAAAATGATGTTATAACCTCTTGGTAAAAGCATGACCTGTTAAGAGTCAACCTTTTTGGAAAATGGCATTCATGCATTCATGCCAGGCAACTAGGTTTCTCAGCTGTTAAACTGATGTACCTAGCTATGTCTTTGAACTGCTAGGGACAAAGACATGCCAATGTAGAAAAACATATATGAGTTTCAGAAGTGGTCCTTGAAGTTGCCCAAAAAACCTCTACTCTCCTTTAAAATATATTTGCCTTTAATTCATGCTCTCAAGAGACAAAAATAAGCAGAGTTCTTTAAAAATAATATAGTTGGTTTACTCACAAACTTAATGTACAGTGTTCCCTTGCTACTTTGCAGTTCGCATATTGCGGACTCGCTGTTTTGTGGGGAAGGAGGAGGGGGAAGTGGAGGAGGAGGGCTTGCTTGCTTTGAGGAAGGGAGAGGGGGAAGAGGAGGAGGGGAGGGGGAGACAGGCTCACGAGTAGGAATCAGCAGGAAGTGTGGTGTGCAAGGGGAGGGGGGCGGGAGGAAGGGAGGGGGGAAAGAGGAGCGTCCCTACTTCACGGATTTTCACTTATTGTGGGTGGTCTTGGAACATAACACCTGCAATAAATAAGGGAACATTCCACATACAGGTACCGTATATTCCGGGGTACAACACGACTGGGGCTATAAGACAACCCCCCAACTTTAAGACACAAAACAGAGAGTTGGGGATATATTCGCCATTTAAGATGACTCCGCTGCTCCGGCCGCTTTCCTCCTTCCTGCCCCCACTCTGCTGCTATGGCATCTCTGCGGGTGAAGAGGTGCTTCTCGCAAGTTCTGGCCAGGAAGAAGGAGAGCGGCCTGACCAGCGCGGGAGGCCCTTTTGCTCAGGCCGCTCTCCTTCTTGGCCAGGCCTTGCGAGAAGAACCTCTTCTCTAGCAAGACAACGTTGTCTCGTGGGAGAAGAGGTGCTTCTCGTGAGGCCTAGCCAGGAAGGAGAGCGGCTTGAGAAGTGCGGGAACAAGGGAGAGGCCTGGGACTGAACAAGGAAGGCAGCCAGGAAGAGAGGAAGGATGGGGAGCCTGCCCGGGAGACCGCCATGAGACAAGACAGCAGAAGAGGAGGTGGAGGAGGAGTAATTTTTGTAATTTTATTATTATTTTAATTTTCTACCCAGCGTACTAGACGACCTCCAAAATTTTATAAGGTTTTACATGCCTAAAAAGTTGTCTAGTATTCCGGAATATACGATACTTTGCTAAACAGTCCAGTTACAAGTAGATTTGAAGTAATTTCTCTGTGTTGATAACACAGGGCATCGTTTTTAGAATCTAGTCCATAGTCAAAAGCTTCCCTCTGTTTTGAGAGTCTAATAGAGTCTCTGTCGAATCTGTAAGTCCAATGGAGTCTAATGGCTTCTGTATAGCATACTGTTGGTACTGAAGTCCAAAACAAAGTGTTACTGCATTGAAGCCTAAACTATACTATTGTTGCTACTGAAATATAAAGGCATCCAAAGTCTAAAATGGAGCCAGATCCCTGAACAAACCCAGATCTGATCACATGGTCTGCAGCCCCTCCCACAACAAAGAGTCAAGGTAATATTGCAAACCAATACACACACTTACAATACAGTAAGCAATTATTTACATAACAAATAACTAGTGGAGGTTTGCGAAGGTTGCTATTTTCAACATCAACAGAGGCTGGATGGATATCTCTTTAAGGAGTGCTCTAGTTGTATATCCCTGCATGGAAGAATGGGATTAGACCAGTTGGCCCTTATGGTTTAAGTAAATTGTTGCATGTGTGAATAAAAGACCTTGTCTGCATTTGTGCACTGCATTTCCTCCTTATCTCTAGGTACGTCTGGAGCTTCAACAGATGAAGACATGGATGCAGAAGTTGTCAACGAAATCCTAGAGGATATTCCAGAACATGAAGAAGATTACTTGGACTTAACTCTGGAAGAGGAAGAAGTTGTCATCAACGAATACCTCTCGTATATTCGAAACCTGCAAATACAGTCCAAGTAGACAGACTCTTAAAGGCTCCGGTCACATTTATCTGCACCAGCATTGTTTCTGCTCTAGTTCAGATATGGTTTAGTTGCATGTAAGTCCCACTGAAACCAATGGGTCAGTTTAGTCCCGATGATCTTGACTTTAGCTGATTTAGTCTAGACTGGAACCTTGGACTTTTAATACTTGGATTCCAAGTATCTCTGATTCTGTCATTTTGCCAAATGCCTTAAGTTCATTCAGTTGCATAATTTTGAAACATTGGTTTGTGTAAAATCTGTTATTATCTGGTTGTTATTTAGAGCAACACTGGAGAATAATGTCAACTGTAGAACAAAAATATTTCCAGACATATTTTTATATAGAGATTCTATATATATATATATTGGTGTGAATCAATCTATTTAAATAGCAGATAATAAAACTCAGTTCACATCCTGTCACAATAACCAGTTTTATTTAAAAGCCGCAAATGGAAATTTCTGCATGGGTTCCTGTTTGAATTAGCATTGATATAGTCTGTTCTGGGAAATACGGGCCCAAGTGTGTTGAGCTGTCAATTTTTGAAAAAGTTTTTCTTTCCATCCTGTCTCTTGTAAATCTGTTGTGCCTGGACTTGGAACATCTCCTGTTTTCAATCTCTGTCTTGCATAATGGAATCACAACCAATAAAAAGGCCAATTTTCATCACATAAATACACGACAGACTTGTTTAAATTGCTTTTTCAGTGTTATTGGTTGGAAGGAGATTTAACAAACATGGCTGACTCCTCTTCATTGTCATAGATCTGTTTAAGTTTCCTTATGCATGCAGCTGTATTGTTTCAAATTATTTTTTAATTGTTTTGCATCAGAGAATGGTTGTGTAAGCAGATTTCCACATGTAACAATAAATAGTAATAAAAATTTATTTGTACCCCACTACCATCTCCCCAAGGGACTCGGTGCGGCTTACATGAGGCCAAGCCACAACACATCAATAAACAAAAGCAATAACAATAATCAATAATCCCTGTTTACCTCTCCGAACGTATTCTCCCCTATGAACCATCAAGATTATTAAGATCGTCTGGAGAGGCCCTGCTCTCGGTCCCACCGGCCTCGCAAGCGCGTCTGGTGGGGACGAGGGACAGGGCCTTCTCGGTGGTGGCCCCTCGACTCTGGAACTCTCTCCCACTGGAGATCAGAACCACCCCTTCTATCCTGACATTTAGGAAACAGGTGAAGACTGGTTATGGAGACAGGCATTCGACGAGTGAGCCAACACCCTGAGATATGGATGGAGGATGATGAGCAACGATTTTAGTGTGACGACTGACCATTATAGTTATTGATTGTAATTGCTGTTTTAATGTTTTACTGTAATATGTATTATGATGTTTTATTGATTGTATGTGATATTATGGTTGGAAACCGGTCTGAGTCCCTCAAGAGAGGTGAGAAGGCCGGTATACAAAACTTTTAAATAAATAAATAATAATAAATACAAAACAGTTAAAATAAACTCAAAACAGAAAATATAAAATAAACAATAACAATATCAAAACATACAGCATTTAAAAAAACCTATGGCCGGGCCAAATGTAATAATTCAAGTTTAAAATTAAAAATGCTGGGTATGGACAAGGTAAGGCAAATTAGGATAGGATTTTCAAGGAAGGATGAGGGTGCACAGACAATCCTAAGTCAATATTAAAGTGTGTTTGAGGACATATTGCTAAGAGTTTTCCTAACAAGTTCACTTGCAGTTGTATATTTCGAATGCTGGATAATTATTGGTGACTTAAGTGTACCATAAGCAGGCACATTAGTAGATATGCACTTGGTATTCAGCAGAAAAGTGATGTGGTGCATGTTTTTTTCTCTCTCGTGTCAGGAGCAACTTGAGAAACTGCAAGTCGCTTCTGGTGTGAGAGAATTGGCTGTCTGCAAGAACGCTGCCCAGGGGACGCCAGGATGTTTTGATGTTTTACTATCCTGTGGAAGACTTCTCTCATGTCCCCACATAGGAAGCTAGAGCTGACAGACGGGAGCTCACCCCACTCCCCAGATTCGAACTGCCAACCTTTAAGTCAGCGGTCCTGCTGGCACAAGGGTTTAACCCATTGCACCACCAGGGGCTCCTATGTGGTGCATGCAACTACATGAGAGTGGAAGTGTACCATGCAAGCATGGTGCAGGATCTTGGCCATTGGCAGACTTTGTTGCAGCGGTAATAACACTTGGATGGATGGCAGCCATAAAGCAATTAGTTTTATTTACATTACTCTAAATCAGTTCTGTTGAAGGATGGAAATCTAGGTCACATCTACTAAATCACATTGAAATGCAAGGCCTGTGAGCCATATCCAGCCTACCATGTCATTTTCTGTGGCCCTCAAGGCTTTCAATGTCAGGGCATCATAGTTACATTTATACCATCTTAGCATTACAAACACCCTTTGAAGCCAACCATAAGGCTCATGCGGCCCTTGGTGAAGATGTGTTTGATACATCTGTCCTAAATTATCCCAACATTACCTCCCCCTCACCCCCCAATCGTGTCAAAATGTACTGAAATGGGAAACCATATAGTTCCAGACTTGTAGTATCTGTTTAAAAGCTTCCAAAGTAGGAGCCTCCACCACACTCCAGGGCAGAGAGGAGACATGATGAGGACAATGTATAAATATGTGAGCGGAAGTCATAGGGAGGAGGGAGCAAGCTTGTTTTCTGCTGCCCTGGAGACTAGGACGCAATGGAACAATGGCTTCAAACTACAAGAAAGGCGATTCCATCTGAATATTAGGAAGAACTTCCTGACTATGAGAGCTGTTCAGCAGTGGAACTCTCTACCCTGGAGTGTGATGGAGGCTCCTTCTTTGGAGGCTTTTAAACAGAGGCTGGATGGCCATCTGTCAGGGGTGCTTTGAATGCAATATTCCTGCTTCTTGGAAGGGGGTTGGACTGGATGGCCCATGAGGTCTCTTCCAACTCTATGATTCTATGATTCATTTTGTTAGTTTTGGAGTTCAACATGGACAAATGTAAGATACTCCACAGTGTTCCTAGTTATCCACTGCGGTTCGGTTACGGGATCCTGTGTAGATGCCAAAATCTGTGGATGCTCATGTCCCATTACATGCAGTGGCGTATGAAAATGGCAACCCTTCTATAAAACGGTAAAATCAAAGTTTTTAGAACTGTTTTTCTTAATATTTGCAAGTCTGACTGTAATCCACATTCAGTGGCTCTTAGGAAAAAAACTAACAAATGCCTTCCCTACTTTTTTGTAATTTCCCTTCATAGGGACAAATTTCTCTCACTTCATGTTGTCTCACCCCTGTTTGTAACTATGAATCTTTCGTGGGACTACCTGTACTTCCGACTGCATTGTTCATTTTGGAGACATCGTGGTATCCATTCTGAGGTTTGCTGGATAGAACCGAAGCTGTTTTGAACGGGAGGATTAAGTGTGTAAGGGACACTGGATATCTAGACATATTTCTAGATAACACAACCAGCAATTATGCCATCTTCATGCCTCAGAGCACTACAATGCACTTCAATGCAGTCTGAGCCCTGCCACATGCACAATGGAGGAGCATCTTACAGCGACAGCAGAGGCTCTCCCAAGTGGCCAGCTTCTAGTCAAAGAAAATATAGTATAATGTCAAATTTTTAACTTTTGTTTGTGTTCTTTTAAAAATACATTATAACTACCCTCATTTCTCTTCTGACACGATAAATAAAATAGTGCCTCAGGAGGATTCTGGACTGTGTGTACATAGCTTTTGTATGGCTTAGTAGGTGGAGATTTATTTCTTATTTATTTACAGTATTTATTACGGATTACAGTGCACATATACATGGCAAACATGCAATGCCATTTAGACATACAACATATATAGACAGACAGAGACAATTTAACATTCCATCGTTTTCGGCTTCATGAGGGTATGCTCATGAAGCCACAGGGGGAGCTGCTGCTTCACCGTCCACTTGTGACACCGAGTCCTTTGATGGAACACTTCCTCATTCTTCTGCATACTGCTGGAAGGTGTTATGGCATCGTAAATAAGTTAAATTAGCCTCCCCGCATAAAGCCGTACCTATATTTCCTATTTGACAGATGCAACTGTCTTTCAGGCTGCATAGGTCAACAGCTAGCTAGACGATTAATGATTGGGAGCTTACTCCAACCGGGCTGGCTTTAAACTCATGACCTCTCGGTCAATGGTGATTTAATGCAGCTGGCTACTAACTAGCTGCACCACAGCCCAATCCATACATTGCTTTTCATACACAAACCATACCCTAATTCAACCATGGCAGATTGGTTTGATGAAATAAACATGGACTGACTTGTGAACTACGCTTGTCATATCCATGTGACTCACTTTCAGCCTAAAATCTCTCAAACTACTTCCTGCAACAAGTTGCTTGTGTAAACTGGCCTTCGCCCTTTTTGATAATCAGTCAGTGAATTCCTTCCTATAGTACGAATGTATGCACACCAGATAGTACAGGTTATTCATTAAGTTTTGCCTGGATGATCCGTAGTAGGAACCATAACCATCAGGATCCATTGATAAAAATGCAGCCTGCTATATATGGCCAAGATAATGCAATCAGTTGAGTAGACTTGCCTTGGATACGCCCAATGTTTCTCCTATCATGTTCCCAAATATGTATGTCCGCACTATTACAAGAAAGCCTTACACAATGGACCATATCAGTTTTATATTAGCCATAATGATCAAATTTCACATTTTAAAAAAATGAGCTACAATGACTGTCTCTGATTCAATAACATTTACATGGATATTCCCATGAACAAGATTTTATGAAGACTCCCCAAACTCAAATCAATCTGGCCACTAGATGGTGCCCAGTACCTTTTGGAAATGTTCATCTTATGTGACACTGAAATGCATTGCAACTCCTGGTAACACTCAGTAACCAAGTCTGAGCTGAACCTAAGTTGCTAAAAAAGCTTAGTTCAGGATAGGAGAGACAACTAGTTATGGAAGCATTGTGTGTCCAAAGGATGGACTAAACAAGTTTGTCTTCAGGGGAAGCCTAATAATGTTTGAACCTGGCCAAAACCATGTGCATGTACATGAGTAAAGGTTTCCCCTTGACATTAAGTCTAGTCGTATCCAAGTCTGGGGGGTGTTGTTCATCTCCATTTCTAAGCCAAAGAGCTGGCATTGTCCGTAGACACCTCCAAGGCCATGTGGCCAGCATGACTGCATGGAGCGCCGTTACCTTCCCTCCAGAGCGGAACCTATTGATCTACTCACATTTGCATGTTTTCGATCTGCTAGGTTGGCAGAAGCTGGGGCTAACAGCGGGAGCTCACCCCTTTCCCCGCATTGGAACTGCCCCAACCTTTCAGTCAACAAGTTCAGCAGCTCAGCAGTTTAACCTGCTGCGCCACCGGATGCTCTGCACATGATTATATTCTTGTAATTATTCCAGAGACGGCAACAGCAAATGTAATCGAGGGCAAATTGGAAATTGTGTCCTATATCTTTAGGTCTGATACTGTGATATGGCCTAAGAGCTAATCAATAACATTTACTAATACTTTTTTTGTCGTGTCAGGAGCAACTTGAGAAACTGCAAGTCGCTTCTGGTGTGAGAGAATTGGCCGTCTGCAAGGACGTTGCCCAGGGGACACCCGGATGTTTTGATGTTTTGCCATCCTTGTG